AAATTACAAATTAAAATAGTATTAATTGAAATTACTAACCGTTTAGGGTGCATTTATTAAAATTTATTTTCTACTTTTTAAAGTTTTAGTTTAAAGAAAATAGAGATAATAATTTTGTGCTATCGTTTGAAGAAAAAAAAAAAAAAATTAAAGAAAGAATAGGGAGTTGAATGGGATGAAAAAACGAAGTCAGGGGCATGATAGTCATAACGAGAATGATAAATTGCCACTCAATGACTCGAAGGAACTTTAAACTGAACATTTCATCAGCAAATTTCTCCGCCATAACTCATTAGCTTCAGTTTCTTTTGATTTCTTCAGTAGAAGATAAGAAATTCAAAGAAAAAGCGAAAAAATGGCTACTATTAGAGTACCAGAAGTGGTTCCTTCTCCAGCTGAAGACTGTGAAAAACTCATGAAAGCTTTCGAGGGTACCTCTTCACACATACATTTTATTTTCTTATATATATATATATATTTTAATTAATCCAAGTACTATGTTTTCTTTTATTTGATTTTGTTTATGTGAATACATGAATCATGCATTATCGGTTAGGGGTTTATTGTTGTTTTGAAGGATTGGGAACAGACGAGAAGGCAATAATTAGGGTGTTGGGTCAAAGAAATGCAAGCCAGAGGAAGAAAATCAAGGAGACGTTTCAGCAGATTTACGACAAGTCCCTTATCGATTGTCTCGATTCTGAATTATCTGGTGATTTTGGGGTACATATTTTTCTATTATTTACCCTTTATTTATCTTGAGATATAAATCCCCAGGTGTTAGAATATCTATAACGCATTGATGTATGAATTGAAGGTAAAATTAATCCCAAATGTGTGTAAGTTTTATTATTTAGCGTCAAATTTATGAATTATTTTGTGCTTCTTTGCATAATTTGCACGTTCCTTTCAATAACTTGATTTTGAATGCATTGGTAATTGCTTCTATATCTGCATATACCTAGCATTTCATTCCGTGAAAGCTTGTGTTTGATAACTCGATTCGTTAGAAAGGAAATGCCATATGTGCAGATGTTTCTCAAATGCTATCGGGACTTCTGTTTGGATTGATTGTGTCTTGGATTTGCTCCCAAGACTCAAACAGATGGTATTTCTCAAAACAAAGAGTCGAATTCAATTCGTTACACGTAAATATGTGAAGGCACAGGTTATAATGATTTTGTGTAACTAGGGGTTAAGTATTATCAACTCTATAATTTAAATATTAGATCAAGGAGATACATTTCTGGTTATGAATTTTCCAAATGAAATACATATTTCAAATTAATCCTTTTATCTTTCCTAAACTGTCATAATCGTTAAACAGTCTTGTTCCAAGAGGAATTTTAAAATGCTGATTTTGATGTCTGATAAGTGATAAGTGACAGAGAGCTGTGATCTTATGGGCATATGATCCTCCTGAAAGAGATGCAAGACTTGTGAATAAAGCCCTGAAATCGAGGAAGAAAAATATCACGGAGTTACAAGTACTGGTAGAGATAGCTTGTGCATCGTCACCTCAACATCTGGCTGCCGTAAGGCAAGCATATTGTGTTCTATTTGAGTGTTCTCTTGAAGAAGACATCATATCGAATGTCTCACTGCCTGTGCAAAAGGTAAATTTGTACGAAGAGATGAACTTGATTACATTTTCATGTTTCTTCTTGTGCTCTAGCACCAGATTAACCGAGTGCTAACAGTAAGCGACCAAAGACCGCTGAATAGGGTATTAGAACTGTTATGATCTAGGCCATTCAGCTTCTAATTTTAACTTCAAAGAATTTTATGTTCAAACTCATGATTTCCACCACGTTCTCAGTTGTATCCCTTCCCTATCCCCTATCCCCTGGCCCCTCCACCCTCAACACCCCAACTAGAGGGGAAAACCTCTCAAATAAAGCCCTTTTGCTTAAATGAAGCTAAAATAGAAGGATATTCCCAGGTAGCAATGGTCTCTCTGTGAATCTGTGACTGAGAACAAGTGGACGATGACAAAATTATCAACAATTTACATCCAGTATTTCTGTTCTGCAACACATGTATAGTTCCTTGATTTTGGTTAAGGGTTTGTTAAATTCTCGTGTCAGCTCACAGCTTGTAACTTTCTCGATTTCATGTTGTCAAAGCGAAGGATGCCTTAAATGTTGATCTTACACCTTTTAAAATTTTTCAATGATCAAATGATAGATGGAAACCTGTGCTTTCATGTATCGCATCAAATCAAACTGATACGTAAATGTCAAACAGGTCTTGGTCAGTTTAGTAAGTTCTTATAGATATGATAAAGAAGCAGTGGATTCCATCATTGCCAATACGGAGGCAGTTATACTGCATGATGCCATTAGAGCAAAAAATTTAGAAGATGATGATCTTGTGTGGATACTCAGTACAAGAAACATCTTTCAGCTCAGAGCAACTTTCCAGTGTTACAAGGATAATTACAGGAAATCCATAGACGAGGTTCAGCATTTTATTACCAATATTTGATAATTATTTCTCTGAGTTTTGTTTTGATTTGATCTTGGCTACTTGGAAAATTCACTTCACAGGACATTAGGGCTTGTGGTAAAGGTATTTTGGAATCAATTTTGAAAGTAGTGGTTTGGTGCACAGACTTCCCAGAAAGACACTTCGCGGAGGTAATTTAGGGCCTGTTTGATGTGCATTTATTTCCATGGAAGTAGGAAAGTCATTTCCATTTTCTTGATTTTGGGTTGTTTGATGGACACAATTTTATAAGGCAATTGTTTTCTTGCCTCACGCGCCTGTTTTCCAGCCAATTGATGAATTGTTTTTTCTATCTTTTTGGTGGGAAAATGGAATTCCACCTTTTTTTTTTCGGAATGGAAACAAATTTCATAAATAATTGTAAATTTTTTTTTCCCTTTAATGGACAATTTCCATGTAAAACGAAGCCAAACGAA